TGGCAACACTTTTAGTCCAAATTTCATTTAATTGGTGGTTGCCTTGCTGAATTTGGTCCTTCTTGTGGTTGCCTTGTGATTGCCGAATGCTGCCAAGAGAAAAATGGGGGAAATTCGGTAGCTTTAAGTGGGTTTTGTTTAAATTAAGTGGAAATTAGCTTGAGTAATTGTTGTGAAATTGTCTAGAGGAAATTCCGTGTGCTAGCCATTAGATTGCCCAAAAAACCGGTTCTTCCATTTTGTTGATTGTGAGATTAGGGAGCTATGTGTGTATATATATATATATATATATGTATGTATGTATTTGTATATATGTATGTATATATATATATATATAGTCCGGTTGCAGTGATAAATTTTGAAGAAAAAAAATATATAAATAATAAATATGATATTTTGGAGTTTTGCCAGCAACAATATTAAAAAGGATTAAATAGTTAGTTTTCATATGGTTATTAATTTTGGAATATTTTGGCTAGGTTTCTGAGTATTCTATCACCTTAGCTCTTGGAGTGAGTTTTCTGCTTTATGCGAGTGAGGTAAGTAAATTTATGGTAACGCCCATACAGTTTTTAAAAGTATATTTTGATTTGTTTTTGAAGTGGTGGCGGGACTAAAACCGTTTTATACAAAAGTAAGTATGACTGATTTGAAGTGAAATTTTTATGTTTTTTATTAAATTGAGTATGCTTACTTAAAATTTAATTGATTGTCCTGATGATTTGAAAGTGATTGATGAATTATGGTTTTTCTGTTAACTTCAGCCTGTTTTGTCTCCGATGTGGTCATGTTATTAGTGACCCTACTAGTGGGGGTTAAACGCTAGCACATGTCGACATGTTAGTGATAGAACCGGTTCGTTCCAGTGACCTTGCTAGTGGGGATTATACACTAGTAAATAGTGCGCTTGCCAGTGGGTGGTTTATAACACTGGTCGTGATCTATAGAGGAGACGTCTATTTTGTTCCCGTATTGTATTCATTTTTTGTGATTACACTTGTTGGCATGCTATGAGTTTAATAATGGGCACTTCATATTTTACTTACTGAGTTTATCTCATAGTTTTCCTTGTCTACCATTTCAGGTAGTGAGACCCGACGCAGGGGGAGCCCGAGAGAGTGACGAGCTAGACGGCTAGGCACTTTTGGACTTAGATTTTTGTAGCTAGGCCATTAATCACCATGCTTGACTTAGAAATTTTTGTGTACAGAACTTTCTTAGTTCTAGTCATGATCGTATTTATGAAGTGATAAATTTGTACATCTTGACTGGTAAATATTTGGTAAATAAAAAGGTTTAGATCTGAATTGTTTGAATTGCTAAGTAAGAACTCATTAAATTTTGAGCTTTGTACATTTGTGGGTCTCGCTCACGAGTGCGCAGCGTCTGTCTCGCTCCGAGGTTTGGAGCGTGACAACACTAAAGGTAAAAACTTATATATTGTAATATAAGGGGTAAAATACCTCAAACTCAAAAAGTTGAAGGGCAAACAGGGGGCTTTTGCGCGGAGCCAAATGCTCTTACAGTTTTTGAGTTGAAACAAATTAATATTTAATGAAAAAATTAAAGTAAATTACTTACTTAAACTTTTATTTTAAAAAATGGGCCAAAATATAATGAATAATGTAAACCTTTCAGGAGACATTTTAAACCCACTTTTACTCCTCACACACTTCCCAATGAGTAATATTCTGTTTGTTCAACTTTAATGCACACTTTAGGTATTTTCTTAGAGATAGTCATAGGGTTTTTTTTTTCGGTTTTAATTGTCATTTTTAGTTTTTAATACAATATTAATTAATTGTCTTCTTATTTTGCTCCCAAACATTAGTTATCTCTTATTTTTTTTTTTTTGAACATTCATTAAGTTATCTCTTTATTGAAACAAAAAGTATAAAATGAAATTTAAAAGGGCAAATTAGTGCTTTAAATATATTTATTCCTAAAATCAAAAGTGACTTATTACTTTCTAATTTTCATGCTCTCTCTTAAAACGTCTTATAATCTGAAATAAAAGGAATAATTTTTTTCGAAAAATATTTATTAATCATACTTATAAAAAATAAAGTAAAGAAATCATAACAAATTTGATTGTAAAATTGTTAACTTTTCAATTATTTCTTTTTCAGTTCCATTTGTTCTAAGCTTTTCTTTCTCTAAAACTAAACAAGTCTAAGAAAAGATATGCTATATAAGGTGTTCTTTTTAAATTGCAGCAGACTATTTTAATTGTAAAATAGCAACAGTTAGATGGAAGGTTCAATACCCATTATCAAAGCCCTCATCATCTAATGGTCACTTTTATTTTTATTTTTATTTTTCGATTAATCATATCATATTACTACTTTGTCCTTGCAGTCTCAGCTTCCTTTCTTCCTACCTTTCTCATGGCCTAGCTGTTTAAGATCTTTAGAAAAGGAAAGAACAAAGGATGAAAGTTAAAACAGCTACCCCTACCCCAAGCATGTTTTCTGCACCTTAAAAGTGTGGCGTAAATGTTGAAGTAAAGAATGAGAATATAGTTACTGTTCCAAAACAAAAATTAAAAAAAAAGGGGAAAAGGGGGAAAAGAAGAGATAATAAGAATATAAAACTAAATGTGAATAATAAGTAGAGTAATTTACCAGAAAAGAATAGAATAATAAATAGAGTAAGACTAACTTCAGGTACTTTTCCTTCCTGGCTTTTGAGTATAATATACTTCTGAATGTAATATACTTCGTAACATTGATGACCTAACCTGTTTTTGCCTAATTTTTTAAGTTATGTTTGGGATTGCTATGGACTACTATAATTATAATTTTTTTAACATTTTATTATAAAAAATTATGTTATTGTTTGATAATTACTTTGAAAAGAATAATATACATTAATATGACTACTAAATTATAAAAAACATCTATTAAAATGATTTTCATCATAATAAATTTTATGAGACATTGTGTGAAAAAAATACTATAACAAAATAACCCCAAACACAGCCTTAGGACTAGTAACATGAGTTGATTTTAAGTAGAATGGTTATAACATGGACTCATGGAGTTAGAACTTGGGGTACAATACACTCTTTTATTAGGACGGTCTTTTAAAGGCGCTAATAAATTTTCTTGTGGCTTTGTTCCACAACATTTCTCGATATTTTATTTCTTAATTTTTATATTTGTTATTATTTTAAAAATATATAAAATATTAATTATAATAAATATTAAATATAT